AAGGGAGGGAGGGAGGGAGGAAGGAAGGGCGGGTGGGTGGGCAGAAAAAGAAAGCTTATGTGCCTGGCCAGAGTTCCAAGTCAGGAATGAGACTGTGACACCTGAACTGCCCCAGTGCACTTCCAGCTCAGCGTCCCTCCTACAGACCAGGCTGGAGGGCCACTGGCCTTTGCCATGCAGCCTCCCAGGCACCACCCCTGACCTAGGAAGGCCAGGGAGCCTGGGTACAGCCTTCCCGTCTTTTTCTCACTGACAAGGCTGAACACACCCACCAACACTTTCTGTTGGTCTAGTAGCCCCAAATACACACCTGCCCCCTTACAATGGTGTAGCCTCCTCAGGACAGAAATGGTGCCATTCAGTGTGAGGGGAGCGGTCTTGGAAACGATGGCTAGCTTAGTTCTGTCTTCAGATACCAAGGAGATGCTAGTCTCTTGGCCCCACATCCTTGAGATAGACACAGGATACTGTAACTGTGTCCCCTGGGAACTGTCTTCACCATACAGAGGCACCTGTGAGGCTCTGAAAACCACTCACAGGCAGTCTCCTACCAGTAGAGGTGCCAGGATGAGGCCAAGGACAGCCCCTCTCACGCATGCCTTGGGATTTTGATCTTTGCTCACTAAACGAACCAACAGGAGGACTACTGGTCGACCTTTGTGCAATGAGCAATTGACTCACTAAGAAAGAATTGCACTATCTCTATAATGACCTGAAAACCCAGCACTGGAGAGGCTGGAGCTCCCACACCATGTTTTTTTTCCAACAACAGCACAGCCCCAGACCCAAGAGAAGGCTGGGGCTCCAGGTCCGGACTCAACTGGGCCCAGTCCTCCTCTGCCCAAGTCACAGAGACTACCTCCACCCCCTGTTTAGGGCCATCTACTACACCCATTTTTTAAAATTTTTTTTTAGTTGTTGATGGACCTTTATTTTTATTTATCTGTTGGTGCTGAGAATTGAACCCAGTGCCTCACACATGCTAGGCAAGTGCTCTGCCACTGAGCCCCAGCCCCAGCCCAACTATTACACCCATTTTATGGAGTTAATTTTCCACAAATTTAGAAAGCATGCAACAAAGAAATTTGCGTCTGGTTTGTCTTTCTAGTAAAGTGACTATACGGTGCCATCATTTTGAAACTTCATCATGATGCTGAAATAAATCCAAACAAAATTTCTAATGATGTCAAATAATCAGGACTTATGATTCCACGTGTCACCTGATTACACCAGGTAGGGGGCACGGAAGGTGTTTGGGATTCTTTGAAAGTGAAGCTACTTCCCCCATCAATTGAAAATCTCCTATTTTTTTTTTCCTCCAGAACTGGGTGTTTAAGAGAGTACTCTACATAAGGACAGTGATGCTACATGAAGTTTATCGTGGAAAACCTTTGCTCTCTCTGAGATAAGTTTGGTATGTTTTGCTGCCACAGAGCACAAGACACCCAGTGTGACAACCCAAGCTTGCAGGTGGACACCTGCAGGCCGTGGTGAGCAGGGCCCCCCAGCATGGCAGCGACCTGCCTGCAGTGCAGCAAGAGGGGACATCTTGTTGATGGCTCTGGGAGAGACTCAGCCAGGATCGGGGCCTCGAGTTTCTGTGGCACCTGCAGCCACGTGCTCAGTGCACAGGTCTGACTCCTTTGAGCACGTGGCTTCTAGGCCGGCAGTGGGCCAGACTCCCCTATGACACCAGGTGGCAGGGTGTGTGTGTGTGCGACTCACACGGGGCAGTCCCTGTGTCCACCAGGCACGGGCCTCCACTCTCACACCTGCTCCTCCTGAGCTCTCGTCCTTTCTAGGCCACGAGACGTGGCTGCCTGCCAGTGATGAAGGGCATTGGGCCTCGCACCACGGGAACTGGGCTGTGCAGGGAACTGGGGCTGCTCGCCCAGGCTGTGGCTCAGAGCCGCCAGGGACCCCACAGGCTCCTCTGACCGAGGGAGCCATCCTGGTGTGAGCCCCACAGCTGTGAAGGTCTGGGCTGCTTCAAAACAAGCCACCAGGCAGCACCACGCTGGGAAACATGGACACAGCGAGGGACGATGATGCCCTCGGGGCCTCAGCTCCAAAGCTACTTTACTACCAGGAGCAGGACCTGGGTTTCAGGCACCAACACAGGGCAGGACGGTGCTAAGGGACTCCGTTGAGGGCCACATGAAGCTACTCTGAGGCTGGTGGTCTGAGAGCGGCCTGGCCGTCTGCCCTTCTCCACGGCTCGCCAGCCCCCGAGGGCCCCTGGCCCTGGTAAGAGGATGATCAAGCGGCCTCCAATGAAGCCTCAGATCTGGTGAGGCCGAGTCTGCAGCTGTGAAGACCCTGGGCACCCACACTAAGGACGCTTAACCAGGGGAGGGCCAGCCACAGGCCCTTGCTTCCTGAAGCCAGGCCAGCTGTGCTGGGCCACAGACAGTGTGCCGTGGAGGACCGACAGGCGGCGAACACCGGGCAGGGGCATCGCGGGTCTGCACTGGCTCCCGAAAACCACTGGTTCCAACCACTGGCAACATCTCAAAGGAAACATGAAGGCAGTCCTTCAAAATTTAAAGGAAAAAACCAGCACACCCCGCACATGGTTACGTTCTGCCTTCTACTGTCCAGGGCTCCCCTCCGGGACTGCCACATCTGGACTCGGTCAGCAGTTTCTTACATTTATGGTCCATGAGAAATTCAGCCACACCACCTGATGCCCCTAACAGTAGCCAAATGTGGACCGGTTTCCCTCAATCCTGTTTCTATTTAAGCCTGAAATGAATCATGGAGAGGTCTTCGGCCTTCCTCCCATGCTGGCTCTGAAGACAGGGGTCACTTGTAAAGGACAGAGAAGTGCAGGACGAGGGCAGGAGGAGACAGGAGGCAAGGGCAGCAGGGGCAACTTACCACAGGGCTGGCCCGCGCCGAGCTGGCCCTGGAGGAGGCGCGGGAGCCGGAGTTGAGGTGGCCACTGTACTCTGAGGGCTAGCCGTCGCCGCAGGACACACAGATAGAGACAAGGAACAGGGTCAGCCACGAAGCAATGAGCATGGAGGCCGCTGGAAGCACACTTGTTAGTCGCAGAGCTGGCCACACGCAGGGCAGAGGAAGAGAGGCTGGTTAGGGAGCAACTGCACTGGGAAAGGAACCGGGCCTGGCACAGCCAGCAGCGCCCACTAACAGGAGGAATAGATGGCAACATCCCAAGATCACAGCGCCCTCAGGAAGGAGCAGTGACACCGAGTGTCCGCCACGCCTTGCCTGTGCACAGAGCACGGGTGGCGGGAGGGACTGAGGGCCTAAGCCGCCTCCTGCAGGAGCTGAGGACGAGGACAGGGCGCTCGGCGCCGACCTAGGGAGGAGTCTGCTTCTCTATTTTCCACATGGAAACAAAGTAAGACTCAGGTTAGTTCAGAGCTGCCCGTGGCGTTCTCAGAGTGCCAGGTTGCCGCCCGGGGCCTGCGTGGGTCTCTGCCTACCCACCCATCATCTCCGACCCTCTCCCGATCCTGGGAAGGACCGCGCCGGCGACAGCGCAGTCTGTGGCCTCTCAGCTCTGCCTTGGAGCCGGTCTTAGCCACATTCCACGTTTTTCAAAAAAGTGTTGCCCCTCTGCAGAAGGCAGGGCTGGGAAGGCCGGGCATGGACACCACTTAGGGCTACAAGCACCGAGCAGAGCCTGGCGTGTCATGAGGTAGACCTTCAGGACAGCCCACGGCCCCTGCACTACAGCTCTGGCCACCTCCCCTCTACTGGAGGTCCGCAGGCACCGTGCTCATCACAGGCCTAAGGAGCCCTAGATCTTCAGTCTCATCTCAAACAGCACCTCTCAGTTTGCCTGTCTCCCCAGGGGGACACACCGGCCCTCCACCCCTGCAGAGTCCGTGTCCAGTCTGTTCACAAATGAACCTCCAGGGAGCAGGTGAGGACTGTCACCGTCAGTACTTGGTGAATGAATGATTCCAACTGTTGACCATCAAACATTAATTGGAAGATTAAATCTCTCGCAGGGCTGGGGCCAGCAGGGCCAGATTCCCCAGACCTGTTTACCCATGCTGACTTCTTTAGGGAAAAACGAGCAACACTGGGCAACACCGCTGGGTGGGCACCGTGTGGGACACACCCTGCCCAGCTGGCACAGGGAGGTTCCCCATGGTGAGGACAAGAGGCTCACTGGCACGGCCGGGTGAGAGCTCAACATCACGGAAAACCCTAAGTCAGCCTGTTAAGGCAGAATCATTTTGCCTCCCAGTTTACAGCAGTCAGCGACTGCTCCAGAGCTGACTGCAGGCCCAGTTCCCCAGGCAGAAGGGTTCTTGGGGCAGATGGGCCAACCTGAGCAAGCTACCAGCCTGTCTCCAGGACCTGTGCCCCCCCATGTGTGAGTCGTGTGACTGGGGGTGGGAATCATGCCTCTGCCTCTTGTTGCCCATGTGGCTCTCATCTGTGACAGGACCAGACAGAGGGCCAAGGATGAAAAAGGTTGTGTCTGAGCTTGAGCTTGTCTCTGCAGGCTTCCCAGCTCCAGGATCAGACAAGGCCACTGATGGTGACGTCCCAGGGCTCAAAATGCCTAAGGGAACCCCTCCACACAGAGCCCTCAGCCCAGCTCAGGGGCTGCGAGGGGCAATTGCTGAGCTATCCGGGGCGGTGGCAAGTCCTCCAAGCTGGGCCCAGGACTGCCCTGGGCAGGCCTAGGATCCCTGAAGTCATAGCCACTCGGCTGGGGCTGGGTCCTTGCTGGACTCTCCTTGGCTGAAAGACTAGAAGCCCGAGTACCACACTCCCAAGGCTCATCTGCAGCCACGGGCCAGAGATCTCTGACAAGAATCCCTTCCCCAGGCCCAGCCTGTGGAACCTGGTCACAACGCGTGCTGAGCTCCCTCCGTGTGAGTGCAGCACCTGGCTGGCACCAGGGTCCCGGGCACCACTGTAAGATGGACTTTTAACTCAGGCTCCTCCACCTCACTGCCACGCAACCTGCACAGGAGGTTGAAATCCCTGCCATGAAAAAGCACTCTGGGGCCATGCTCCATGGGTCGCTGCCCCACAGTGTCCCCAAGGCGCTGCTTAATGAGCCTCCGTGGGCCTCCAGCTGTGGGCTTCACCAGCTCTGCCATGGCCGCCAGAAGACAGCCAGGGCTTGGAAAGGCTTGTCCTCCCGAGTATCAGTCCACGCCCTCTTTTCTGATCAAGACCAGCACTTAGCAGCTCTTCACCCTCACAGGATAGGACAGTGCTCTCCTGCCTTAAGCATGGCCTGTCGGCTCTCTAGTGGCCTGCCAAAGGGTTCAAGAACTAGAAAAAAACTTAATGTGTAGGGAGTTACATTAAATGATTTATGCCACACAGAACTCCACCCCTGTTTACATGTCAACCAGGACTGGTGCTGTGCCAACTAACAGCTGAACTGGATAGTCATAAAAAAACTATAAGGAAAACTGTGGGTCACACTGACTTGCTTCAAAAGAACTGACGAGCATCTACGATGGTTGGAGAAACAGCTTGATTAATCATAAAACTGGATTTAGCCAATTAAGTAGCTGACCACTTTCAAAAGCAAAATTATAAAGGTGGTTCATCAGGTATTTCTTAGCAGGCCATTCCCTCCACGGAGGGTCTGAGGAGTGGCCGGTGTAGTGCGTCCTCGCGGGCAGCACAGGTCAGAACAGAGTGTGTGGCCCCAGCGGGGGGTGAATATTCATATTGAATTGCAAATTCAAAGGGGCAGCTTCAACTCTGCCGGGGGGGGGGGGGGGGGTGGGGGGCCCGGGGGGGGGGGGGGGGGCGGGGCAGCCCTTCCAGTTGGGTCACCCACTTCCACAGCTCCTGCTCATTCCCATTTTGTCACTATTTCCACTCGTTCACCAGCAAATATTTACTATACAGCTACTACCCCCTTACTGTGACCGCAATTGTCATTTCAGATCCTTTGAAGAGAAGGCAGAAGGACCATGGGTAGAGGAAGGAGGGGACACTCATGCCTATTGGAGTCCTCAGACTCGCTCGACTTCCTCGGCCACTGAGAGGGGAAATAATCTGAGATTCTCCAATGCCCTGGCCTTCTCCTGCGTTTGTGAGGTCACTTTGCTTCTTGTCAGGGTCAGCAAGGGAACAGAGCGGATGAAACTCAACTCGGGCTGGTCTCCCTGTGACCTCAGTATGGACCTACTGGGGACACTGGGCCAACAGCCACAGAGTCCACAATTCAATCACCCCTGACCCTCATGACAGTGGGAAAATGAGGAGACAGTGCTTCCTCCCCGTGACGGTCTGTGCCTCCCACGACTGGAACTGCTCCCGGCAAGTGCTCCCAGGGACATGCAGCAGGCAGGACAGGTGGCAAACAGACAGCGCCTTACAGCGCGGGAACCGCAGGCGCCGCCCCGCCGAGCCCCACTGAGGCTGCTCTCATCGAACAGAGACACCTGCAAGCAGAACAGACTGTCAGCACGGCGCCTTCCCGTCCCCAGGTACCCAGAAAACACGGAAAACGTGAGCCAAGGAGGAGTGACACGTGCCAGGGCTCTCCTGGGAAACCCTGTGCAGGGCAGGCTCGACGCCACCTCGCCAGCCCAGAGCCAGGGAGCAGGGTGAAGAACATGCAGCAACCAGGAGGGACAGTTCCACTGCCGTCAATGAGCATGCAGCTGAACGCCACAGGTCACTGAGCTCGGCGAGCTGGAGAGCATTCCATGCTGAGGAGACATATGTGACTTCAGAGTTAAAACATCAGATAATTCAGACATCGGGAATTTGGTCAAACATCCTGGATTGTCAATTTTTTTTTTATTAAAAAAAAGTACTCCATGTGAGGTGACTTTGGAATAAAAGATTAAATTATGTTAATGATAGATTTAATGTTGAATAGTTCATAACTCTTTAAATGTTGCTAAGTAGAAAGCAGAGTATTCGATCATCTTGAAAATCCTATGTATTAGTCACAGAAACAGGAGCTTACGATACCACAAGTGGCGGCGTCAGAGCGGCCCAGTTTAAAGGAGCGCTGGCCTTCCCTCCTCCCTTAGCACACACTGGCTTGGTATTATATCTTCAATTGATAAGTGTGCCATCTGATGGGAATTCAGGAAGCTACTGACAGTTACTTTGAATACTGTTTTCCTGCATAGCATAAGTACCTGTATTTAAAACTGGAAAATTTCACAGTAATAGAGTAACAAGGATCAGCATCAGTTAAGGTTGCCAAGGCACTAAAGACCCATTTTCCTCTCTGCCAGCAGGAAACCTCCATGTTGCCGTTGCTCTATTCCTGACCAACGATCCTACCCAACACCAGTCTGACGGCCACTGTCAGCAGTCGGGGAGAGAAAACTCTGATCTGGCCACGGAGCACTGACGGACACCATGGGGGACTGACGGACACCACTGCACACGTAAGCTCCTGTAAAGGCACAATCCCCCGTGGGGCAGAAAACACCCCATGCACGTGTGTGGGTGGAGGGGCACACATTGGGGGGCGAGCAGGTGGGGCGAGGAGGTGCCGCCCAGGGAGCACACGCACCCGGTACCTCCCCGCAGGCCGGGCAGCGCTGGACAGATAGCAGGGCTGGAGGACGAAAGCAAATGGCAGGTGTTTAAAGCCTTGAAAAAGACAGCAAGAGAGGAGTGACAAGGCCACCTAAGGGCTCAGTTATCGTGACAGAAAGCAATGGTCAGAGGGAAGAAGGCCAGGCCGGCATCGGTCTCTGCAGGTCGGAGCGCAGATCTAGGGTTCACAGGGAGGGGAAACCCGGGATGCCTCTCGGCCTTGGCCCCCGGGTCTGCAGCAGGCATTTCCTACTCACTTCTCTTCAGGCAGTTCTGGAAAAAAGGACGGCAATGAGAAGGAACTGCGGCAGGCGACAGCCCCACCAGGGCGCCACACCACCCTGGGGTCCTGCTGCGGTTGGCCCTGGCACTGAGGGTCACACCTGCCACAGTTCAACCTGCCGAGGACTGAAAACACCTGGAAAAACAACTGTACCTGTCTTGGACACGTACAGAGTTTCCTGTCCCTATTCCCTAAACAGCACAGTGTGACAACATTCACCCGGTATTGGGCACCATAAGGAACCACAGGCACTGTGCACAGGTCCTATGCAAGTCACACAGCTGTTCACACCAGGGCCTGAGCATCTGTGGGGGTTGCTATTGGGGGCTCTGGGACACCCCCAGGTCCCGAGGGGTGCCTCTAAGTGACTGCAGTGAGGAGAGCAGCAGAACAGCATGGGGCTTCTATCAGAGGACAGCAGTGACAGTCCTCGGCACACTAAAGGGAGCTCTAGGCCAGCTTCCCTGGTCAGGGCTGGCAGGTCCTGTCAAAGGGGACTCCACACCTGAACACACATGAGGGGACACTCTGGAGCACAAAGGGGACTCCACACCTGGAACACACATGAGGGGACACTCTGGAGCACAAAGCAGCTCACCAGGGCACACAGACTTAGCTTCAGGGAGTCAGGGCTCATTCAGAGGCTCACAGCAGAGGGCATGCTGGACCAGCAGGGGAAAGCCGTCGTGACCGGCCACAGGCCACTGGGCAGCTCATGTCTGCAGACCTGAGGACAATTCAACCTCTGAGACATGACGCGCACTTGGACTTCCGACACTGACCTCTGCTTTGGAAGAGGACTTGTAAACCTACAGCCAGGAAGGCCAGGGCCCTCCGCTGGCCCTGTCCATGGCCTTGTGAAAACAGGAAACAGGGAGAGAAAGCCAAACAAATGGCTTTGCCCACCTCTCCAACACGGAGCCAAATGGTGCACAGACATCTTCCAAATTGCTTCCTGGACACATTTACAAAAGAAAAATATTTTTTAAAAAACAAATTGAAACTCCAAATGGGGGAACAATTGCTGGAAATGGAGGGACCCGAGAGACTAACTTTCTGGACTTGAGTTTTTAAAAATCTACATTTCATAGAACTCTGCTTTTCCTGAAGTCCACTTTTCCGTATTAGGTCCTAAATTATTTTAGATGCTTTTTTTTTTTTTTTTAAGATTGAGAAAAGTCTTAGCAAAATATTGGAGCCAATCAAAACACCCACTGAGATCTGCTCCACAGATTTCGTCTATCAGAGGTTGAAGTATCCACTGAAACAACACTTCAGCAACTTAGGTGCCACACAGAGGAGAGGAGGGAGAAAGTGATGGGAAAGGAGAACAGACCCGGTTTCCATTCTGGGCAGACAGGGGCTTGTGAGCAAGGCCACCAACAGGAAGCCCAAGTTCCGAACAGGAGAGTCCCTGTAATCAGAGAAAGTGGTGGGTACAGGGGGACAGCCTGCACCTGCACTGCATCTCAAAGGTGCTTCGGTGTCAGCGACTCAGACAAAATCACCCCCACAGCCAACCCGTGCAGGGCAGGTGCCAATGAGGCAGAGCAGGAAGGCGGTCAGGAGGAAGTGGGCGGCTGGGCCAGTGAAAGGAGCCGGCGGTATGGAGACCAACCTTGGAGTCTACACACAGGAGGAAAAAAAGATGTGATTTTAATTGCTAACAAGACCCAAGAGGATTTAGTCTTTGTAATTTGACTTCTAATTTTTAGAGTTTGGTAGGAAAAATTCCAAGCCAGGAATCTGCAAGGCTGGTCTCCCAGCTGACTCCTTTGGTTGGCACTTACATGATGGCATGCACCCAGGACTCACAGAAGAGGTGATAAACCAAGTGGCACAATTCAGAGACCACAGGACAGGGGGATGCTACTGCATAAACTAACAGACTCCCCCTAAAAATTATTCACCCAAATCAAAGGGTCGGGGCAGGGGGGACTTAAAAAGTTAGTCCGGGAGTTGTAAATCCTTTGTCCCATGTTGAGACCTATCCATAGTTGAGACATGTCCATTTAAGTAAAATTAACTAAGCTGATGTGTTGGGCAGGAATAGAGGTTTGCATCAGAACAGAATAGCTACCAGGCAGATGGTGGGAGGGTAAAAGCAGGCGCATCAGGATAGGGACACATGGCCTCTGGAAAGTCCTGATGCACTCTGCATCTGAATGGGTCAGCTCTCACTTTGACCGTTAACCTTCTGGACTTGGATTGCTTGTGTTAAATGAATGTGAGTTGGACACAGGCTGGACATGGGTGGGTAATTTCACATCTAGCTGTTAACTGATGAGTACTATCTTCCATTTTATTTTATTTTTGCTTTTAGTTGGAAAAAAATTTTAATAATTGGTTCTTCCTAGTTATACATGATCATCTTCTATTTTAGAACAAGTACCCCAGCTCATCAAAAAGAAGAAGGAAATAAAGTTTTCTGAATGAATGTAACACTACTTCCGTGTTTACATCTCATCTACTATTCAGTAAAAAAAAAATCATAGGAGGCTCAGCAGCTCAGCTCATAGGCTGATCAGCAACCAGGAGCTGTGTCTGCCAGGATCAGGGTCAACTTGAGCTCTCGGTGTGCAGCAGGAACTGTTGTGACAATGCCTGGATTGGACCGGATTTTTATTCCACGACTAGTCCAGCCCTGAGAAACTGCCACGGAGTGTGTAGGACCCTATAAAATAACATTGCTCAGGAACTGTCAAGGAAAGAAGGCCAAGATATTCCTCTCAAGGAGTTCTAATTAAAAAGTCTACAAAAAAAAAAAAAAAAGCACGTTCTTTCATGGTAGTCCATGGAGAACCACAATTCACACTCCAAGGCAAGACAGTTGAGGTGGTCTGAATGTAGTATCTCAGGATAATCCCTCCGCAAAAGTTTAACAAAACATCAATCCAAATGAGACTCCATGGCATGTTAGAGAGAAGGAGAGCCGAGTGCACACACACACACAGCGCATGCTATGAAACCTGCAGTCTCTGAAGAAAGGGTGTGAGAGATTTGAATGGAAACCAACCAACTTCTCCTCCCTGCATGATGACAAAGTGGAGAATCTGCCGTCACCGCCAGAGCTGGAATTCTGAGCACCAAAGAAGGAGACATTTTTAAGTGATGAGCACCTGCTTCAAGTCCCGAAGCACAGCCTGGCCCCTCCGCAAGGCAGAGATAAAACAGAGCTGGCCCCAGCAGCCCAGGAAGGCTGGCGTGGCTGGTGCAGCAGCGGGAGAGTTCATGTTTCAGGAACCTCTCCACGGAGCCCGGTAGCTGACCTATTACTATGTCGTCACCTGCTAAATCTCATGCCAGACTGCCTACAACCTCCCAGTCTGAACTTTCCTCATCACATCTTCTAAGGTAGCTGGAATCCTGCTTATTGTAAAATTTTTACTTTCTTCAGCCCAGCACACCTGAGGACAGGTGGAACCTCAGGGGGTGGCTTGTCCCCCTCCAGCTGAGACCTCTGTCCATAGAAGGAAACTGCCCTTATGATGTCTTGGGTGTACATTTAATTATTATTAATTTTTGCAGTGCTGGGAGGGAACTCAGGGCCTCACACGTGCTAGGCAAGTGTTCTACCACCGAGTCACACTCCAGCCCTTGAGCACATTTTAAAAATATCAGATCCCTCCAGAATGCAGAGAGGGAGGTGACGTGTGCAGTTCTGAATGTGGCTAGGAAGGAGTCAAGGTCAAGCAGTTCTGCTAGGGAGACTGCGGTCCCCTGCAGGAGGAAGCGGGTATCATTCCCTCCTGCAGGCGGGGGTGGACGTCGCATTCCCGTCCAGTCTTCTCCAAGCTCATGCTTACCGGCTCCAGCAGCTCTGCTCTGGGAGCTTCCTAAAGAGTGGCTCAGGGAGGTTATTTTGTTCTTCGAACATTCTACTTTCAGATTATTTTTTAAATCAGTTTTACATCCAATTTCGTTCTGTGAGCAGTTTTGTAAACAGATCCTTTTGTATTTGATTTCTACAGGCTTTATCTAAATCTTAATCATGATGCATATTTTTACTTTCTCAAAGGTTAAACTAAGTCATTATCTGCATAATGTGGAGCTTGATGTCACCTTGTATGGTCATGGGCATGCTGGCTACTTTAGGGATGACCCACAGGTCCACCTAAATTTGGGAAAAGCTACACTAAAGAACTTCTGAAGTAACTTCTAAGCCCACACTGCGCTTCTCGGTGACCACTTACAGTAAAACAACATATCAGGAGGGAAAGCTACAAACTAGACTATAAAACTCCACCCAGTAGTGGTCTGGTGGCCACCAGGAAATACAGTCTGCAAGACTGCGACACTGCAGCCAGTCAGCAAGGTGTCAACATGGCCGCTGTGCAGAGCAGGCAGCTCCTGTCCCTAGCTCTGCACTCCTTTAGAGAAGCGCAAGGCAAGGGCCTCAAGAGGAGCTGCAAGGAGCAGAGCTTAGAGGAAATACAATAAAGACACTTGTAATCCTAAACAGTCAGGAGAAGGCTAAAGCAACCTGTTCAGCCAGTTTTGAAGAGCTGAGACTGTGTTGGTTTAGTAGGGCGGGGTGGGGGTGGGGGTGCTCTGTGTTACCCACTTGAAGTCTAAAAATATAATTTAAGTGTTTGTAATATCTCAACATAATTTAAAAAATTGACAATAAGAACAGAACATTTTAGATCACTTAACACAAAAGAGACCTGTGGCAGCTCACGAGGCTTCATTAGCTGTACCCAGCTTACCTTCTGAAATCCCCAGGGACTAAATGTCCCCCACGCCCCTGCGGCAGCCTCTACTTCTCTCCCCTCAGCAGCCCTCTGCTTCTGCCTCCCACCCTCACCCCTGAGCAGCCAAACACTGCAATTCAGTTCTCTTCCTTTTCCTTTCCAGGGAAACACAGGCCCTCGTGAAAGAAAAACATTAAAACTACAAACAAGAAATGCGAACTGGGAAGACGTTGGACTTAAGTGCTGGTGAAAGCCAAATCCACCACCACACACACTATACACACAAACCGAGGGCCTCAAGATAATGAAAGAGGGAGACTTTAATTCTAGGTATTGTTAAACTTAAGAGAGTCCTATCAATATCAGCTTCTTACCTACCTCCTACCACATCAGTCATCCTGAGACTGTTGAATAATAACATTAAGGGAATGTTTACTAGTTGGAAAACATTATCTTTCTTTCTATCATGTATTAGAAAAAGAAGAGTCCTGCAATAATATAAAAAGAGGAAAAAAGCTGAATTTAGCAATAAGTCTTAGAAGCTTTGAAGCAACCTGCTTGAATTTCATGCCATGCAAGTTGACTGTACTGACCCTGCCAGATCTTCTACTCAGGGACTGCGATCCATATAATTCTCCATCATAACCATTGGTCTGTGTCAATGAAGAAAAGAGAAAAATTAACATCAGTAAATAAATGAGGATGTGGCTACTGACAGCAGGGAAAATCAGCCAGGTTTAGACCGAGTTTCCTTAGTGCAGGGGATGGTTGGCAAGCTTGGGGCAACACAAATCCTGGTGGCCCCCAAATGGCCTCTTGCAACCCAGAGGAAACAGAGCTCTGAGCTGATCAAGTCATGGGCTTCATGTCACATGTCACTCTGGGTCCTACAGTGTGCAGTGGAGGGAAGCACACATGCTGGGGTCCAGTTCTATGTGGGAGCTGTGCAAATCCTAGCTATTGAGAGGGCTGGCTGCCAAGCGGAGGTCCAGAGGGGCACAGACTCAGAGATTTCAGGTCTTGGTTCAGGGTAAGTTCTGGAAAATTACAGCTTAGTATGAAATACCTTCATGAGATTCAGAAATTGTTTCTAATCAATCTGCAATTAAATGCAAAAGTTCACCAAAGAAAAACTGTTGCTGGTGGACGACATCTTCTCTACTCCTTCTCCATTCCCAGTCCTCCCACTTCATGTCTCATCCTGAGACTTGAGCACATCCCTAATGATCTCATAATCCGTGCTCCAGGAGTAAAAGAGGACGAGCACGTTAAGCGCCTGCCTTCTCCCCCTCCTCCTTGTCTCCCTGCCCAAGTCCAGAGCAAAAGCAGGGCTATAAGGAAGGGCTCTAATCAGTCTAGAAGGAAACTTCTGCTGATTCAAGGTAAGAGCTCAAGCATCAGAGACATAACCAGCTCCAGAGGGGGAAAGAGGAGGAGCCATCCACACACCTGATAGAGATGAAGGAGGTGCCACTGGGTCATGGACCTGAGTCCCAAACTCCAAACGCAAGCCCTTAAGCAAATGACTTAATCCGCTACACCTCCACATCCCCAAATCTACAGGGTCTTGCAGTGAGAAGTAGTAGTGAGAAGCAGTAGTGAGAAGCAGTCTGACCTTCTTACAGACCGCCACCACCCCCTCCTCTTGAATGGTGCATTTGGGTGGTGGGGCTACTTTATGGGGCATGATGGTAAGAAAGGTCGACCAGAAGACAATAAAGAGCCCACAGGCAGCATATCAATGCCACCTGACATCAGGTCTCTAGTTCTGCTCGACAAAGTCTCTCTCTCCTTCCTGTGTGGCTCTCCACTTCTGCATGCTATTCACTGGTCAAGGCTACAAGAGGGCAGTCTGAAGGTGACCTGTGTCACGGCCACTGGCATAATTCTCAGGGACACAGGCCCTGACCTAGGAAACTGGAATGCTGCAAGGGCCCGGGAGCACAGGTTTTATAAGGAGCTTCCAGGTGCAGCAACACAGAGGAACACTGCTGGAGGGAATCCGGAGAGGACGCTCACAGACCAGCACTGTCCAGCAGAGGATGACAATGTTAAAAAGAGATGCACTAGGAAGTGAAAGCCAAAGCACGCTCCTGACCCAGCTCACCTACACACCCGCCCATCAAGGACTGGCTGGAAGCAAAATGCACTGTGAGCTTAAAACACAAAGGGTGGCCAGGAGCCACCTAAAAACAGGTTGCCAAGGGGCTGGGGATGTGCCTCCGTGGTAGAGCGCTCGCCTAGCATGTGCGAGGCCCTGGGTTCAATTCTCAGCACCACATAAAAATAAATAAATAAAGGTATTGTGTCCACCTACAACTAAAAAATAAAATATTAAAAAAAAAAAAAGAAACAGGTCGCCAATATTTTCAATTCCATAGAGAACAGAAGGACTGCCACACAAGGGCACTACGGAAGGGCTCTATAGGTAAGTGACAGATGCTCTGTGAGGGATGCTTCCTGAATCTCATCGTGCCTTGTGCTTCCTGCAGGAGCCAGTTGGCCTCAACCTCACCAGGCCAGGACGGCTGCAGTGGCCACAGGAGATGGCCCTCCTCAGCCATCCCTTCCACCCAGAACTGGGGACCCTCGGAGGACCAAACACGCAGGGCAGGTGCACAGCTCTTGTTCCTAACCAGTACCTTAAATACAAAAATACGTTCTACAACAGGAATGTGTCAAATAATTTTTAAATGAAGTAGTAATAGATAAGCACAAAAAGGCTTTGAAATGATGTCTTTAATGTGATTTTCTGTCTAATATGCTAACTTCAGTACCAAATCACCTTTGGCTGAGCTGTGCTTTCTGGTCAGACTGAATTTTTCTTCTTCTAAGAATAAAGTTTACAGGTTTTCAGAAAGCATAAGGCACAGAAACTCTCGGATTTATAAAAATAGCAATTCCAAGTTTAAACCAAAAGCCTCCGTTTTTGTGACTGGAACTGGGGTCTTTCTCAAGGAGTATTTTTTTTTTTTTTTTGCAGAAGAGCAAATGGTCCGTTTGATTTGATGGCTGTAGATCAGAAACAAATGCTTTTTAAAAATCAGGCAAAACGACGTTACATGCAATCTTTTAAAGGAAATTTGAGGCCTGGGGAATCTTTGATCTGATGTGAGTTTCCCGAAGGCGCCCACTGACCCGCTGTCTGGCATGCACAGAGCTGCTCACAGGGCATGCGCCAGACATGGCACTCGAAGACACCTGGTGAGTGAGTGTCTGCGCGCGGACATCCAGGTTCCAGGGCCACGTGCGAGGATCAGGAGGCCCCGGGAGATGGACCACAGACCCTGGGGGGGGACCCACCTTCCTAACCTCATCCTCTGAATTGTAGATGCACAAGACACACACAGTGTTTCACAAAGTCACCCCATGAGATTCCAGGTTATTGTCTGTCACAGCACACAGTTAGGATCACACGGCAAAGTCCACACAAGTGTCTTACCCAGGCGTAGGGACCCCCGTACTCCACGTCAGGCTGCGACTGTCCCAACAAGGAAGGAAGAAAAACAACGGCAAGGAGGGGGGAGGTGAGTCAAAAGAGGAGAGAAACATGAAAAGTACATCGACCTCAGACTAGGTTGGCTCACGACCCCTAGGACCATACACCTCTGAAAGAGTTCTGTGAGGAATAGGGCCACACAGAACCCCGTTCCCCCAGGACCCAAAGCCCTGGAGGGGGCTGAATGAAGGCAGCCACCACGATTCACAGACAGCCTGAGCAGCCCTTTCCCCTCGGGCACCGCACACGCCAGGTGAAGGGGTGAGCGGGAGAGATGCAAAGCTCATGATAGCCAAAGTCTCCTGTTCCGGGAGGCCATCCACACAGACCCAGGACAGCAAGGCCCCCGGGCCCTCTCAGGGTCAACAGCACTATTGGCTGAATGTGGAAAGTCTGTGTTTGGGGGCGTTGAGAAATAAAAGATATAATCTTACACAGAAATTTTTTCAGAATATTAAAATGCAAGAAAAGATTTCAGAATATTAACATGCATGAAGCCAGCCTAAGTAGGTCTCATGTAGACATGTGGGAGGTGCAATTCCTCCCAGTTGGGCTGCCCTGCTCAGGGGCACCAACCAGCAGAGGTCAGAGTTCAGGGGCTCTTGGCACATGGCCTGCACCTCCCCCCAGGCCCCAGGGGAGGGGAGCTGGGGCTATCACTGAGGGCTGAGACCCTGAGCAGGCCTGGGGACGGGCTCTCATCTCCAGGTCCACAGCCTCAGGTTCTGCGGGACTGAAGTTCTGAGGCACTCAGGCGGAGTCCATGAGGGGAACAGTGCAGCCACCTGGCTGGGTGACAACCCCCCACTCCCCTCTCCCCCAGACAGCACTCTAACTGTGGACTCCCCATGAGGCTTCCTACCCGGAGACAAATACACCCGTACCCTGGCCAGGAACAGCGTCCGCAGAGAGACTTAGTTCATTCCTGGCAAAGGTGGCTGGAAGCAAAATGAAGGCCGCGTGACACCGCCATGCTCACCAGCACTGCCATCGGTCACACCCTCTGGGGTCAGAGAACCCTCTGAGAGTCTCAGGAAAGTGGAAATTCTTTTCCCAGAAAAACTAAGTGCGCACAGTGTCTCACGCACTCTCTCAGGATCACGGATTGAAGACACTGCACTCCAACAGAGGTTTGGATCCGCTACCCGCCCCCCCCAATCTCTCTTATCCCTGACAGTTCAGCTTTGCTCTCACCACTCCTTTCTCAACGGTTCTCTTGGCAGAATCAGGATGCTACACCCAACGTCTGTGCTCCGCCCTCAGCAAGCCGTTCCCCTGGCCCTGCAGCTGTGCCTTCCCACCTGGTGTCCGGCCCTGGCCTGCTGGGTCTGCTCAGCAGCTGCCATGTCTGTGTTCTGGCCACAGGCTCGGCTCACAAGCTTTGCATCTATGGCATTTTGGTCACACAGATCTTCCTTGTCTACAGTGGACTGTGTTAGAGGCACCATGAGGGACTTACAACTGTTAGCTAGTTCCAAGTAGCAAAGGGGCACTTCAACTGCTTCAGAGGGATGCTGTCCAGCAAGATCATAGGGGACCCGCGTTTGCCACTGAAGAGACAGTGACAGCAATGGTGGTTCAACAGCACAATGCACTGCCTCAAGAGGCTGCTCGGCAAGCACAGACCTGGCCCAGGGGTGGCTTGGTGACATCACTGTCACAGCTTTGAAAAGCAAGGTTCCCACTCAGGCAGCTCATCAGCAGAACGGACCTGCTGTCCTGGGACCAGCCCTCCTCACTAGCAGGAGACGTGCCTTCAACCCACGTGAACGGGAGCAAGATGCTCAGGCTGATGCACTAAGCAGGACCGTGGCCCTGCGTGTGTCCCAGAGCACACACCGCGTCAGGTGCACCCCCGAGGCCTTTGGAAAGTCAAGGAGACACCACTGTTTTCAGCATCCTAGCTGATGAGAGGAGGGGTCCCCAGGGCAAACCTGGGTCTAGCCCTTCCTCCAGGCACTGCCTGCTGCCAGGGGACCAGCACGGAATCAGACGAACTCACACCACTGTGACCAAGGCGGCCACTTCCAGGGGTGTGTGAGTGGGCTCACAGACCTGCCCAAGGACTGCAGGTGCCTTCACACTCCTGCTGGTCACCCTGGCAGTGCCCAGACAACTGAAACCTGGCAGCTGCGCTCCGGGAGCAGCCGGCCCAGGAGCCACCACACCAGCTCTCCCCCAGGACAAGTGCGAGACACCCAGCGGAGACACCCCCGCAGCCACCAGACTGGCGGGCCACCGTGCGGGAGCAGGAGGCGAGGGCAGGATGTCAAGCCCAGGCTTCAGCCACACACACTGCATGCGGACCCCAATGCTCCGGTTACTGACCCTCAGGCTGCCGCGGCTACCCACAGACATGCGCTCATCTTCATCAGAAGCCTGTTGGGAGAAAGGATGGAAAACCACCGTGAAGTGATAAGACAACTCCCAAAGACAGACACCCCAGGCTCCGAGGGACAAGGCTGAGCCGAGGCCACAGCGGTGGGGTGGGCTGGCCACCTCCGAAGGGGCCAGGGACTTGAGTCAGGGCTTTGGTGACAGGGGCTGTGTGCACCTCTGCTTGCCCAGGATTGTTATGGATAATATGAACTGAAGTAAATTCCATTAATGTGGTGCTATTTACACCACAGGTCACTCACAGGTAAGTCATAAATACACCTCAGGGTTTCATTACTAGGAAAATCATTCATGGACATTTGACAGCGGAAAAAGCCCTTCAGATGCCCTGCACACGAACTGCAGAGCTCTCCTCCTCACTGCGGTATGTCAAAATGCTGCAGGCAGAGTTCCCAGTCTCTGCTCGGGGACCCTTCCAGCTTTATATCAGGACTAGAAAAGTCTTTTCATAAGCAGCGTGGGTACTTCAGTCACTAAAAGAGCAAAGCACAGGTAACGAACAAACTGTACTAACCGACGTGCTTCTCCGGGATCTGCGAGACTGGCGCTCACTGTCCTCCTACCGCAGCAACGGGGACAGCAGGGAAAGGTTAGAGACAGGCCCTCTGCAACACGGTACAGACTCTCTGATCTAAATGGCAAATAAACACTTTGCTTTCACTGAAGGGCTTCAGCCAAGCCCTGGGAAGGCTTCCTCCTCGGAGCCGGGCTCTCAAGCCACAAAGGGCACACTTCACTCTGGCTTCAAAGGCAGTGAGCACGGGCAGAGGTCAAGGCTGAGTTTCTCTAACCTCGATGGTGGGTGGGTCCCAGGCTTTCCCTGACTTCAGAACCTCACTCTTCTGCAGGAATCATTTCCTCAAGAAACCAACCCGTCAACCCAAACCCCAAGGAGGACGTCACCTCATCTCTTCTACTCTGCGGAATCTCAGACACGCAGTTTCCATCTTGGACATCTCTGAAGCTGGGGTATGTCTAATCATCACAGCTGCTCAGTTACCACGAGCACCTTTTCTTTCTCAGTGGTATTCAAAACACTGACACATCTTTTAGCTGTCTTAGGGTTTGATGAAAACACATCTACCTGTGTGAAATTAGACAGCGTGATGGGTGACCCAGGCGGAAGTCAGCCACTTTTTAAAAACAGGAAGGTGTGCTCTTTGCTCAGTTCTCTTTCCTGCCATATGCAGGTGACTAAGGGGGACTGTTGTGCTTCTCTCTGACTGTCTTCATCCATGAGGAACACAGAAGAGGACATGTCCACCCTGGTCAGGTTCTCAATCTCTGGAGCAGGTGGAGCATGAGGCCACTAGCCCCGCAGGCAGGACAGGAGCTAATGATAGGGGCAGAGCCTGGCTCTGGGGACCACTGAAAGCACTGGGTGCGTCCCCTCTCCTGCAGAGAGGGCCAGAGGACAGAGCTCACTTTCAACTGACCCAGGAAGGCAGAGGGGCGGTCCTAGGAAATAGACAGAAAAAGTAAAGAACCTCTCTCACCAATGTGAGTGGTGTCAGTGGCCACCTGACCCTGAAGGGCAGCAGCTGGCCATAGTCAAAAAGTCCTAAGCCTCTTCTGGTTCCAACAGAAAAATGGCAAAACCTGACGATAACAGGAAGTTCTCGTGTCAAGGACACGTGCCCAACCTGAGTCTCTGGCCCTAGGACATGTGGGGACTGTGGTGAAGGACCCTGCCCATGGGTAGCCTGAAGACGGCAGCAGTCAGCTGTACAGACGGATGGGCCCGGCTGGGTGGCCAGGGTGGTGCCTGAGCAGGATGTACATGGAGGTAAACAATCCTAGACCAGATGCAGAAACGCCTGAATGGAAATCTCTCAGTATCAGATTATGGTGCAGCAGGAATCTATCTGCATAACTAACTGCATGAGGATTAAATTATAAACCATTTAAGTCTTGAAATTGTATTTGAGGCCTACCATCCACCGCTCGATGTCACCCCATTTTGTATCCAGTCCATAATATTTCTACAGACAGAAGAGAAGGAAAATTAGGCCAGAAGTGAAACAAACGGCCCAGGGACCGAACAGACATGCAGGGTGGAGGGAGCATGCCAAGGTGAGGAGGTCAGAGAGGAAGCCGTGGCCACCTGGTGCAGGTGGAGTGTGAAGAGACCCCGCCCACTCCGTCCCTCAGGCCAGGGAGCAAGGACAATGCACTGCTGGCCGAGGGGCGGCCTTGAGACCGGGGAAGCACTGCAAGCCCCCCTGGAAAGCTGGGCATGCCTTCAGAGCCAACACGCAGGAGGAAGAGACACCGTGGAGGAGAAGCACAGCTGAGAGCCATTCCGTGTTGTGCAGGAGGAAGGAGGTCCCAGAGGAAAGGGGGAGGCCCTGTGCTGGCCCCGGGTCCTAGCCCCTGTGTGCCAGCTGACATCTGTGCTGACGCAGGCCCAGAGGACCACACACTTTATAGCCTGCTCATGGGAAGGCGCCCAGTGCCTCAGAGGAAGTCCTGGTGCAGGAAGAGAAACACTCAGACCTGCCAGCTGTGTCTGGGGCTTGCTGGAGCTGATGGCGCATGTCTCTACCTTAGAAGAGAAGGTCCAGAAGGGGTGTCACTGTCACTAAATACAGTGACCCCAGAGTCAGGTGGGAACTCAGGTGTTCAAAGTTCCACCTCAGATTATGGGGTTTTGCTTTTTTCTATACTTTCCCCTCAATTTTCAGTAAGGAAATCAAGGAATAGTCTACCGAACCTCGAAGACATATAACAGAAGTGATTTTTCTTTTTACATTATTAAAATCTTATAATCTGAAAAAAAGAATTGGATGGTAGAGGTACAAGGTAACTTGTCATGGTTTTCCAATTGCCCAACACACTGCTGCCGGGTCTGGCGCAGCTGCATCTTGAAGGGTGGCCAGATGACCTGTGGCTCTCCGACGGTCTTGCTCCTTTCTTAGAGGAGGCACCATGGAGAAAACTGGAAGAGGAGGAACTAGGAGCGGGCACTGAACCATGCCTTTAAAAAGCCACCAGACCGAGCTCTATGCCATCAGCCACACGGCTGCCTCTCTCTGTAAGCTCTCTCCTTAGGCATAAATTCGGAAAAGGAAAAAAGCGAACACTTTCCAAAGTCACGTTCAACTTCAATTTCAGTGAAGGCACCATCTTAAAGCTGCCTTGCAGCCAGTTCCCGTGCACTCTGCCCTTGCTGTGGACCTTCGGGATGAACAGGTGCCTCCACACCTCTTTTACCTTAATCTCCTCTTCCCCCTTGTGAAGTCAGCAGGAAAATGCATGTTTTTAAAACAGAGAGAAGTTCACATTAAACTTCACAGGAAGTCTACACTGCCAATTTTTCTATTTCCTTATTTTTCTTTTGTCCCACTCTATACTTACATCAAACATTACACTACACCTAATTCCTTTTTAATGATAAGAGTGAGAACCAGTATTCAAAGTCTTTCACCTAGCTCACAGGTGGCCTTATCGACAGCTGCCTCGCTGCAGGTCAGCCTAGACACCCCAGAGCACCCAGTGCCACTGGACGGTAGCCCTGGTGAGGGCAGCAAGGGGCTCACAGCACACCCCAGGGAGTGCAGAGTACTTCGAATGCAAACCTCACCATCAGCAGTGAGCCATGCAGAGGGAGGCAAGAGACCTTCAGAACAGGCTCCGGGTCAGGGAGCCATCATGCCCATCAGCCACTGGGCCCGGAGAGACTGGTGACTGTCTCCTTTTCCTCTTCATCACTCTGAGTGACAAGGAACGCCTTCCCTTCCTGGGGACACACTCACTACAGAACTGTGCGTGCTCCTTCCGGGGCCTGCGGGCTCTTAGCTCCTGCTGCACACAATGTCACCTCTGACAGCGTCCTCACCAGCAGTCCTGGTGCCCCAGTGGTGCACAGCAGGGAAGGAACAGACCTCAGTGGAGCGACCAGCCAAGCCTCTGGTGGGTTTGGGGGAGCAATGTCCTGCTCCTACAGTGACAGTGAGGGCTCCCAGCTTCCCTCGAACCAGTGAATTCTGATTCAAATGCTGACTTGGAACCTGGGCTTCAATGTCCACTTCAATACGTGGACACTGGAGAACCTAACACTGCAAGCAGATTCTGGTGTCTACAAAGCGGATTTCTCTGTCCTCTGCAGGGCAGCAGAGAGGCAGAGCGAGGGCCCGGAAGGCACCCAGAACCTGGGCGAGCAGAGGAATCCTGCACCGCAGGCCCGGAAATCACGGCAGTGCCTCTACCAGGCCTCACGCTCTCACCTCTGAAACTCAGCGACCTCATTCTGATTTTTTAAAAAACGTTTCAGTTGTAGATGGACACAATGGCTTTATTTTACTTATTTGTAGTTGTAGATGGACACATACCTTTATTTATTTATCTTTACATGGTGCTGAGGATGGAACCCAGGGCCTCACATGGGCTAAGCGAGTGCTCTACCCTGGCCACAACCCCAGCCCTTTATTGTGATTTTCTCATCTGCTCTAAGAGAAAGATACAGTTACTCTTCTTTAACTAGAGTCAGAAACTATTGTAGATGAGGGTCTAAGTAACAGACTCCCCTCTTTCATGGGAAGGACTTGCCGTCCCTGGATTCCCTGAGCTGGTTGCTCCTCATTCCGCTACTTCTGAACCCTAAATCGCGGACAGGGTGTCCTGCCTTTATCTCCTGCCTGGTACCTACTTGAAGACCCAGCTGCTTCCACACAACACCAGGAACAGAGAGGCGAGTCCCTGGGACCCTGACCCTGACCCGGGACGTGGGGACAGGTCTCTGTGAAGCTGGGCGAGGGGGCGTCCTCTTCACTTTCTTTTCACTCAGACTGTAAAGTCAGGATCTCGTAATCCCCCCACGCGTGGTAACTTGCAGGGATATTTAAAGGTTTTCTAATAAAGTCGTCTGGAAAGATAATCCAAGTGATTTCAGAAGTTCCCTCAGATTTTAAAATGTGATTTTGAGTTAGGATTCATGTTTTTCTCTAAGATACAGTTTTCTAATTTCTTGAGGAAAAATGGAGAAGAGAGAAGGGCTCAGTACCCAGAAAAGTGCAAGCATAGCTGTCCACGGTGGACGGGGACCCAAAGCACTCTCACTCCAACGCCAACACACAGCGAGGGCCACGGGAGCTTCAGGGCCAAGCGTGACCACTGGCAGGGGAGCAGGCGGGCGGGACACAGCGCATGCCATCAGCCAGGGGACGGCCTACCTTTTGAACCTGATAGATCTACAGAGAGGAACAAAAGAGAGAGAAAGAGCGTGAGTCCCATTAGAGCAGCAGGAACGTCAGAAAGGCTGTAAGGAACCAGAAATGTGAATAAAAGCCATCCTGGGAAGAACGAAGGCTGGAAAAATATGAATCAAAAAAGATTGAAATCTCATTGAAAGAATTGGTCACTTTAGCACTCATTCTACATTGTTTTAGACACACTGGTGAAACCCAGGCTTACCCACGCCAGTCTACTAGACTCCCACTGTTGTTCTTACACGGAAGTGTGTGCAACCTGTTACCATTAATGGGAAAAGTACTTTTTCACCTGTATTGAAATTCTCTTTTGTAGTCATGAAAGTTTAACCAGAAATTAATAATAAAATCAACTGGTAAAATTCACAAATAATGAAGAAAGAGGCTTCAATGATTCATGCTAACACACAGAGAACACCAGAAAAATTCCAGCAAAACACAGTGACCTTTAGAGTGGAATTAGAATATTTAAAGAGAGGTTGCGATCGCCCTCTGGGCTGTCAGTTTGCTCCTGGGCTCCTGATCTTCAGGGACACCAGTGCAGTGTCCTCCGCACTCTCCACAAGGCACCTGGTGTCTGCCATGGTTCCAGGCATGGCCCAAATTCTGAGGACACACAGGAGAGCACAGGCGAGCACACCAATGCTGCCCCGAAACAGTCCTCCAACCAGGTGTGAAGGCAGGACCGCGAAGGACACGCCCTGGGCCACCCTTCCACCAGTGCAGGCTCTCCGTGAGGTTCAAGGTTCACTGCCATCTCCAAGACGGTGTCTTCCTGCTATTCTCCTCTTACACGCCCATTAAAAAGGAGTTCCTACCTCTGGAAACAGCCCCAAAGCCCAGCTCAGGTGAGTGGCACTGTGAGAAGAGCCGGCGGGCATCCGGGGGAGGGTGCGTGCCACCCTGCGCTTTGCTCCTTGCTGCACACTCTGCAAGTCCTCCTGGGTCAGGGCAAGGGCCCCGCCCTCCTAGGTCTTCCTGCTCCTCCTCTGGGCCTCCTGTGTCCAGCCCCCTTCTCAGAGAGAGCTAACAGCTCAGCAGCGGCAGGGGGCACAAGCAGACAAGGATCATGTTTCTCAAATTTTACACCAAATATCAACCCTCCTGGTTAAACACTGGTCTTCCAAAGCATATTCATTTCCCCTTAATCAACAACTTAAAATGCCAGTGCCCCAGGCTATCAGGTGGTATAAGCTCAAATTGTGTTGCTAGTTCTAATAATAGCCAGGCCCCTGGACAGGCCAGGCACAGCAGTCTTCGGAGGTGTCTTCAGTGTCCAGGCCACATGTTCAGGCCTGTTAGCTGCTCCCGTTGTCCCTCCAGATGTGTACACAGCTGGGCAAATATATACATGTGCACCCTAGAGGGGGGTCAATGAGAAGCAGGTGGATGGACAGTGCCGCTTCTCTCTCTAGGGCCACTCTAGCTGACACAGGTGTCCACCACATTGTTGGACTGTGCCTTGAACCTGGCACCAAGGAGACACCTTTCACCCAGAGCACAAGAGGAGGATGTGGCTCACTCTGCCCTGCTTTGCAGCGGACACGGGCGTGCTGACAGGCAACTTGTACCAAGAACTTTGTAACGTCATCATGCATATATTCAAGACAATTCTGTCCAGCATTAAAGACAGAATATATCCTATCTAGATGTGTGCTTAATTGGGAAGATAGACATGTATACACCACTCTGTAGTTCACTTTCACCTTGACTCGGATAGTCTGCATATGAGCTGTCCCCCAAAAGCTCCTGTGTGAGACAAGGCGAGAGGGCTGACAGGTGGAGTGGCTGGGTTATGAGAGCCTTAACCCAATCAGTGAATTAATCCAGAGTGGGTCCACCTGAGTGGTAAGTGCTTGTAGAGTGATGGGTTGTAGAGTGATGAATGATCTGAGGGGAGAGATGCTGCGAGTACTCTGCCCTGTGCTGCTGGGAGCGAACCAGGGCAAGAGCCCGAGGAGCTGAGTGCTGAACTCTGACCGCAGCTCAGGACCACAGTTCTCATGCCCACGCAGGAAGACTCGGGCCACCCTTGGCCACTGGTCACTCAGGCCCATGTCGGCATAGGGCCAGCACCCCTTGGAATGTGGTGAGGCGTGGCTACTGCTCCCTGTCCCTGCACAGGACTCCTGGCCTATCTCTGAGGAGCCCATTCTCAGCGTCCCTGCCGCGCCGGGCTCCCCTGGGGCCTGCCCTCCCTTCCCGTCTGGGAAGAAACCCCTTGGGCTTGGGCTTCCAGTACTCTGCAACCATTCTCACACTTCCTGGAAGGATTTTCTTCCCCAAATGTGCATCTGGCCACATCCCGCCTCTGCTCACACATGTCTACGGGGAGCGGCAAACTCTGCGGGTGGTGCGGGGGGCAGTGGGCATCCCTCCTCAGGCTGGAGGCCAGGCCACGAGCCATGTGACCAGCTTGGCCCCTGTTGGGAGGTGGCCAATCTGCAACAGCCTAAGGAGAACCAGAAATCCCGGCTTCCACTGGAAATCTCAGAGGCCTTGGACACCGGCCATGAGAGCCAAACCAGAACCTGGGCACGGAAACCAGCCCAGGCAGGCGGTGGTCACCCGTGTCCAGCACCATACATTTGGATCTCAACAGGAATAGCCCTTTGGGGTGGGGCCAGAGTGCCTCATCCCCTAGCGTGAGTGATGACCCCACATAGGTCAGGAATGACTTCTGGCCCTGGCTTGGCAGAGTGCAAACCAGCAGCAAGCGGCAGGACCTGGTGTGTAAACACACCACCGTCCCTGTTCCCAGAGGGCAGTTCTTGCATGGCCACTTTGACCATGATGTTCACTCTGTGCTCTGGACCACTAGGTAACACTGAGAGACCCAGGGGAAAGGGCTGCATGGGAACCAAGCTGCCCCGTTAAGCAAAACTGACCTGTCAGAGGATCTAGAGCCTAGTTCAATAGTTAGACCTTAAAGTTCAGAGCCACCTCCTTTTGGCTCCTTTCAGCCAGAAATCAGGGCTGGGAAGACTCTGCAGGCAAGTGACTGGTAAGCTGGTCTCAGGATGCACCAGGCCCTGTGCTGGCAGCAGGCATGCCAGGCATCCGCGCTATGCACACTCCTTCCTGGACTTGCATAACTGTCCAAGAGCAATGGGAAGGGACAGGTGGTCAGCAGCGACAGGTGCCCTGCATTTACACACTGTGCCTACATTAAAACTACCATGAAGGAGTCGATCAAGAACCCCCACTTCACCTCCTTCTGCTGCCGCTCCAGCTCCTTCATCCGGATCTCTCGAGCCTCAGCACGGGCTGCACGCTTTGCTGCAAGCCTGGCCTCCGCCTGAAAGAAACCCAGAAACCTTATTAGAGAATAAATCAGTTGCACCTTCCAAGTACCTGGTTAACGATGAGTCTCGTTCATACAGCAATGAACCACTAACTTACAGGAGGTAAAGAGTCACTGAGAGTGGTAACAACGGTAGTTACAGTACAGTGTACCCCTTTCCTACAGATTCACATTCTGTGTTTTTAGTTTCCTGTGGTTCAATGAGGTCCAAAAATTCCAGAAATAAATAGTTTATAAGTTTTAAATTGAGCACCATTCTGAGCAGTGTGTGATGAAACCTCACGCTGTCCTGTTTCATCCTCTCAGTATGTGAGTCATCCCTTTGCCCAGAGTATCCACACTTTAATATCTTTTTTTTTTAAAGAAAGAGTGAGAGAGTGAGAGTGAGAGTAAGAGAGAGAGAGAGAGAGAGAGAGAGAGAGAGAGAATTTTAATATTTATTTTTTAATTCTCGGCGGGCACAACATCTTTGTTTGTATGTGGTGCTGAGGATCGAACCCAGGTCTCACACATGCCAGGCGAGCGCGCTACCTCTTGAGCCACATCCCCAGCCCAGTATCCACACTTTATACACTACCTGCCAGTTAGTCACTTGGTAGCCATCAGGTTGGGTAATACCACAATGATTGTGTTCAAGTAACCCTTATTTTACTTAGTAAGAGCCCCAAGTCACCAGAGTAGTGATGCTGCCAATTTAAACATGTCAAAGAGAAGCTGTAAAGTGCTCACTATACAAAAAGGTAAAAATTCCCGACTTAAAAAGAAAAAGAATCATAGGCTGAGGTTGCTGAGATCTATAGTGAGTTTCTGTTTTTACAAACTTACTAATTTAGGAATTAAGTTTTATCGTAGATACAGAGGAAAAAACCATCCCTAGGGGTTGGCACCACCTGTAGTTCCAGGCATCCACTAGGGGCTTGGCACATACTTCCCCAGGACAAGTAGGGGTGACTATGACGATCACAGCCTCCCTCCACTGACCCTGCCTGAGAGCCAGCAGGCACCACTTGGAGCTCCTGCAGGTCCCCTGGCACCTCCCCCTTTGCAGAGCAGGAATGGGATCTGGACAGGCTGCCAGACCCCCAGCTAGGGTCCCCCATCTCCAGAGCTGAGAGGTGACCCCACTCGTCACCCGCCTCGGTAGTGTGATGAGCTCATCTTCCCTCACAGCGGCCATGGAGCAGGGTGGAAGGGCTCCAGCTGTTAGTCAGCCCTTCCCCCTAAAAAATCCACCCTGTGTCACAACCTTTCAAGCTGTGGTGGTTCTGCCATGTTCCACCTGAGAGCATAAAAGGTGCCTGACCAGTCACCTGTGGGAGTGGCCCTGACCGTGGCCTCCTGTTTCACAAATCTCCTGCTTATGCCACCAGGGAGGGAAGGACAGAGCTTCTGGGCTCAAACAAACCCACCTTCCTTCCTCTTGTCCTCTCTCTTTTCTTACGCACCTGTAATTCTTCCACCGACATTCTATGGAAGTGTTCAATTGTCCCCCTGTTCCCTAGATAACCCTGTCTCCAGACAATCCCGACTGTTCCTAGACACTCTAAAAATCATTCCCTACTGACTCTAAAACTGTTCCCTAGATAATCCTAAATGGCCTTCAGAGATAGCTAGAAGCCCAGCAGTGTGGCCCCAGGGCCACCAGCAGCACATGAGGCAGTGCTTGGCTCCCAGTTCCCCAGCGCCAGGCACTCTGTGGGCCACCGCCCCACCATACACTCATCCTCTCTGAATGAGCACAGCTGGCTTGGGTCCTCCCGAGGAACTGACTCTATGCGGGGCTCCTTTCAGGTGGTTCCTTGGTCAGTCCAAGCCCAAGCCTTTCTAATCAAGGGGTACCCCAAATCACAACTGCATTGGAATCTGACGGAGGCGGCGAGGCAGCGGCGGCGGCGGGCTTATTAGGCAGATAACCATCCACACCCACAGCAAAGTGTCAGAGTTCACACCCAGTGTGGCCGCCTCCCGAGGGGAGGCAAGGCCTGCTGGCCATCCCTAAGCTGGCAGAGACCTAGCAAGACTTTTAAAAATCAATGACTTCGTTTCGTGCACTGGGGATGGACCCGGGGCCTTGCATGCCGCGTGGGAGCGCCACCACTGAGCTGCATCCCCAGCTCTAGGCAAGAGTGTTGGCAGCAGCCTTGGACCCTGGCTGGCCGGGGGAGGAACAGGGAGGGGGTCTATGGAGAGGGAAAGGGGTCGTGGGAAGAAGGGGAGCAGCGGAGTGAGACTCTAAGAAAGAAGAGAGGGCTGGAAGGACTGGGCCACCAGGCGGGCAGAAGGAGTGAGAGGTGCAGGCAGCAGGACTGTGGGGGGTCTCCAAGATGCCTGCTCCCCATGTACATGCCCCGTGGCTGGTGCTATGTGGAAGCTATATTATGTGGCAAACGGAGTCACACAGTGACCAGGCTCCTCACCCGTGGACTCTAAGCTGAGCAACTGGGAGGCTGTTTGGTGGGCTTGCCCTAATCAGGTAAGCCCTCTAAAAGAGGTCTAGAGGTCATGGAGTCTCCCACTGGCCTGGAGAAAGCAAGCTGCCTGTGGGGGAGGACAGTGAGGGATGGCAGCTTCCAAGAGTTGAGCAGCCCCCAGGTGACAGCCAGCAAGAACAGGGGACCTCAGTCCTACAACCACAAGGAACTGAGTTCTGCCAAACACCAGGGGAGCTTGGAAGAGGATCCCAAGCTCCAGAAAGACCCAGCTGGCCGACATGACTGCAGCCCATGAGATCCCCAGCAGAGAATGCTCTGAGGCTGCGCCCCTGCCCACAGCCTGTGAGAGGGTGTGTGGGTGCTGTGAGTATCTGTTCGACACCAGCAGGTGACCAAGAGGGGTGGGGTCGGTGACCACGGCTGCTCTCAGCATGGACCTGCGGTGAGCAGGGGAGTTGGGGCACCTGCACCCCACACCAGCCTGCTTGCCTGCCTGCCCGAGCCCCTACAGGGGAGCTGGCTTGGGACTGGCCAGGACCTTTGTGGGCTCACCCCCTCAGCACATGATACCTGCCCACGGAGGGGCCTCCTCGGGACGCTTTGGCCAATGTCTGCCCTGTCCTTGAGGATAATGGCACTGAGAGGCTAAGCCAGCCCCTGTGCTTTAAGGAACATGACCTGGTGTTGATGGGATGAGCAAACTCCCGCGATGACACGAGCCAGCCAAGCTCCACAGCAGGTCAATCACGCCCACTGTCCCCTGACTCCAGAATCTAGGAAGACGATCGATTGTGACTCAATACGACTTCAGGTCGCTGCAGACCCCACCCCACGACGCCCGTGGAGGCGAGGCACTGGAAGCACAGAAACGGGGACTCTGCCTGACTGCAGCCACCACACAGCCCAGCACCACACTGGCACAATCCTGTGCGTGACCCAGGCTTGCCTTCAGGAGCACCACGCTCAAGCTTGAGAGGCCAGAAAGAAACCACCCAGAGCTCCGGCCACACGTCCATCCTGCTCAGACCCTGTCGACAGCAGCAAGACAGCAGGCAGCGCACGAGGGACACTGATGGCTCTGAATGACCGGGGGGGCGCTCTCAGGGCTCGTGTGCCCCATGCTGGTGCTGGACAAAACCCTCCTGGACTGACTCTTGTATTTAAAAAAAAAAAAAAAATTGCGCACTTGAGGTCCCCATCGTGCCCCATGGCCCCGATGTCAGCCCACGTGTGCGCAATGCAGGGGAGACTGGAGGTGAAGTGACTGGGTTAGGAGAGCCTTGACCTAATCGGTGCATTGATCCCCTGTTACGGATTAACTGGGGGACTGCAGGCAGGCGGGGTGTGGCTGGAGGAGGGGGGTTGCTGGGGTCGAGTCTTGGGGTAGACGTTTTTTTCCTAGGTGAGTCCAGATTAGTCTCCTCTGCCACACCCTCTGCCTCTGATGCTCTGCCTCACCTCTGGGCACAGAGCAATGGAGTCTGCCGTCTATGGACTGAGACCTCGGCAACCGGCCCCAGATAAACTCTTCCTCCTAAAATTGTTCTCGTCGGCCTTTTGACTGTAGCAATGCAAAAGCTGACGACAGACGCGCCCCACACGCCTTCCCACCGTCTGTGCTTAGCTTGTAGGGCCCAGGACAGCTTCCTGACCATCACCAGCAGCATGGCCGGGCTGCCAGGGAAGGACTCTCGACACAGGCAGAATGATGGCCTCATGACAGTATGGCGGGGACTGCTCTGGGGCACAACCTGATGTCCTCCTGGGGCTGAGCAAGGTGTCTCACTGGACAGGAGCCTAAGCAAAGCCCAGAGAGAAAAGGGCCAGAGCCAGGGCTGGGACTAGGGTGACCAGCAGCAAGTGGCAAGGCCCAGAAGGCTAGAGGGCCCAGGCGTCATGTCCTGACTCTCGGCTTCTGCATCTGAATCCTGTCTTAAAGGGCTCCTGACAAAATCGCAGCAGATCCCACCATGTTTTAGAAACACTGCTCGTGTGAACCCAGGAGCTGGCACCGGGGACAGAGAGGGCCGCACAACACCCCCGGGTCAGAAAGCGCCTGCTTCTGTGTCAGCTGGAGTCGCACACAAAGGAACCAGCTGGAGTCAGCCTAAGGCTGTGAGGTGCAGCAGAGAGGAAAGAGGACCTTGGAGGTACAGGGAGACCCAGGGGACCCCGCGTGGTGCCAGAAGTCAGAGGAGACTGGGGAAGACCCTCCTGGCCACCCACCCAGAGGCTGTGGCACCTGGGATCACACCCAGCCTGAAGGCTCCCTGTTCCTCCCTTGGGTGTCTGTAGACCTCCCCTGCCCTGGAGGGTCTCAGAGATGCCCCCAGGCGGCCCCTCCCAGCTCCCTGCTCCACGGAGGCCTGAAGGGATCGAGAGAAGCGGGAGAAGTGGGTGGGATTCTCAACTGTTACAGGACTCTGGGATTACAACATGAAGTATAGTCCACACTGGGCTTTAAAAAAGTAAATAAAACATAGGTTGGGAGACAAGACTAGCGCACCCAGCCCACACCCTGCCGCTCAGTGGGTTTTCAGCTCCCAGCTGAGAGGGCTGGTC